ACATGGCCTCCTTGTTCACCTGATCTGAACCCCATTGAGAACCTGTGGTCCATCATCAAATGTGAGATTTACAAGGAGGGAAAACAGTACACCTCTCTGAACAGTGTCTGGGAGGCTGTGGTTGCTGCTGCACGCAATGTTGATGGTGAACAGATCAAAACACTGACAGAATCCATGGATGGCAGGCTTTTGAGTGTCCTTGCAAAGAAAGGTGGCTATATTGGTCACTGATTTGTTTTTGTTTTGTTTTTGAATGTCAGAAATGTATATTTGTGAATGTTGAGATGTTATATTGGTTTCACTGGTAATAATAAATAATTGAAATGGGTATATATTTGTTTTTTGTTAAGTTGCCTAATAATTATGCACAGTAATAGTCACCTGCACACACAGATATCCCCCTAACATAGCTATAACTAAAAACAAACTAAAAACTACTTCCAAAAATATTCAGCTTTGATATTAATGAGTTTTTTGGGTTCATTGAGAACATGGTTGTTGTTCAATAATAAAATTAATCCTCAAAAATACAACTTGCCTAATAATTCTGCACTCCCTGTAAAATATATAACTTCCATCATTCACGTTATTTAAACAAATGGACATTCGGTAGATAGGTGGGTTATGAGCGCACCTTTCGTGAGAATACCGCTCAGATCCCAGCATAAATAACCGAACATCGCACGAAATATACTTTAACATTATGTTCGCCTGAAAGTACCGAACACAGATGGGGAACCACAATAGTGAAAGAAAGTTCCCTCTTTAGTAATAACAGTATATTGGAGGGAGGGGAATAGAAGAGAAAAAACTTCACTAAATATATTATTCATATTGTGCAGTACCATCGATAAAGAATTTTATAAAGGTTTTCGTGATGGTTGGAGCAGAAAGCCCTTCAGTGCTGAAAAAAACTGAACCAATCCTCCAAGATTAGGATGTCGGTGCAGTATGTGCCCCTGCTGCAGATGACTTGGTGAATTTACTGATTTATTAGAGAGGGACCCCCAGACTGACCTCACTAGTCTTGTGCAGCTAGGGGACCGGTTAAGCCCTACAGAGAAGTTACAGGCAAGGCAGAGACTGTGGGAGAAGCAGGAGATGTTCTCCCAAGAGCCCGGCTACACTACCCTAGCTGTACATAAGTTAGAGACCCCTGGACATAATCCCCTGCCTTATCCCTGAAGCAGTCAGAGAAGGAATACGGAAGGAGATACAGGAGCTGACTCGGCTGGGAGTCACTGAACACTCCAATTGCCCTTGGGAAGCCTGTAGTCCTGGTGCCTAAGAAAGATGAGACCACCCAGTTCTGTGTGGACTACAGGCGGCTCAACTAAAGGACCACCACTTACACCTAACCGATGCCCTGGGTAGACCAGTTACTAGATCGTATTGCCAGGGGACGCTATCTGACACACCATAGACCTGTGTAAGGGCTATTGGCAGATTCCCCTGGGTAAGGATGCTATCCCCAAGTCGGCATTTGTCAACCCATTTGGCCTGTACCAGTTTAAGGTCATGCCATTCAGGATGAAGAATGCTATGGCTACCTTCCACCGGATGGTGGATAGACTCCTCAAAGGCTTTCAGATATTTGCTTGTGTGTATCTGGACGACATTGCAGTTCACAGTGAGTCCTGGGAGGAAGACCTAGTCCATGTAGGGGTGGTTCTGGACAAGAGTCGGGGCGCTGGCCTGACCTTAAAACCAGACAAGTGCCATCTAAGTATGGCTGAAGTACAGTACTTGGGTCACAGAGTGGGGTGTGGGAGCCAGAGACCAGAGCCAGCCAAGGTAGAGGCCCACACCTATCACTAAGACCCAAGTGCTCGCCTTCTTGGGGACAGCAGGGTACTACTGACGTTTTGTCCCTGACTACAGTACTATTGCCAAGCCCCTGACTGACCTGACTAAGAAGAATCTCCCTAAGCAGGAAATGTGGTTTCCCATGTTTCAGGCACTGCGGCAGGCTCTTGTGAATGCCCCTGTCTTCTTTTCCCCAGTCCCTAACAAACGTTTTTTCGTTCACACAGCTGCTTCCATGTATGGAGGATATGGAGAGCACCCTGTCGCATACATAAGCAGAAAGTTCTTACCTCGAGAAGTAAGTTATGCGGCAGTGGAGAAAGTGTTTAGCCCTGGTCTGGGCACTGAAGACGTTGAGCCCTTATTTATACGGACAGGAATTCTCTCTTATAGCGGACCACAATCCCTTAGTCTGGCTTAACCAGGTCTCTGGAGACAATGGTAGATTGCTGCGGTGGAGTTTAACCCTCCAACCCTATAACCTCACCATCAGCTACCGACCCGGTAAGCAGAACAGGAATGCAGATGGATTGTCCCGGCAAACTGACATCCCTACTATCTCCTAGGCCGGTCATCCCCAAGTTGACCCGACAAAGGGTCAAGCCGCGTCTGCCGGAGTGTCCCACAAGGAGGGAGCCAGGTTGTTATGGGTATCGCGGGTTAATACCGAATGAGGGATTCACCTTGATACGGGAATAGCAACTCACAACCGCTTCAATTCACCGGACTGGGAAAATACACAAAATCCTTTTCTCCTTGATACGGGACAAGCAACTACCAAATACTCCAATTTCCCGAATAGAGAATCAGATGAAATCCTTCTCTCGTGGAACAGGCAAAAGAATAATCCAAAGTAGCAATTCCCCCCAAACACGAGAGCAAGCTCCATTTTGAGGGTAAAACAGGAATCTGCTCTATTGAGGGATACATGCCCAGGATTTATGCAGGTCTCCCACCTGGTGGACACTCCCCAAGGGGACAGTAGCCAATCACAGTGGCTCAGGCATAAACACTCCCCTTTAGACAAGTTAACTGCTCCTCTCTATCCTAGAGAAAATTGGGAAGAAATCCAATTATCTCTCTGGATAGAGGCAAAACACCATTTTATACAATAAAAATACATAAAATTCAATAACTGTAAAACTACCGAATGTATTCAGTACATGTAACATATCCCCAAATAGCCTAGATCTGAGCGCACATTATTACTGAATGGCGCTCAGATCCAATACACACAGTTCAATTGCCATGGAGCCAAAGTCTTTCACAGTGTTCTTTCGGTATACGAAGGGCTCCATGGGATTGCTATCTGGGTTAAGTTCGTATGCCAGATGACAAAGAAGGGAGGTCGGCAGTTTCAGCGGTGTTCGGGAGAAAAAGTGTCCCTTTTGGGTTTCATACGATTGTCGTCGAACACCGCTTTTCATTCATGCGTCCTAGAGGGCCGCCGCCTCATGGTCGGCATATGATCGACGGCCACCCAGCATACGGTTTCAATGAAGAGATGTCTGCGGTTAACCATAACGTTCCAATTGAGGCCAATGGGTTAACCAGCAGCACACTTCTCTTCTGGGTGGCCGGCAATTCAGCAGTTTTTTCAGTAGATTAAAAAAATAAACGAGCGGGGAAGTACGGACAGGAAATGATATGAATCTACACAAATTAAACAGAATAGCCATATAGTTCCAAGACAGAGGGATCTGTCACAAGATGCTCCAATTTTAGGCCCATATCATATATTAATAACGACACAAAAATGTATTCTAAAATACTAGCGAATCTGATACCCTTACTGATCAAAAAAAGGCCAGATGGGCTTCGTACAAAGTAGACAGGCACCTGATGGCATGAGACGGTTCATTAACTTAATTCAGCATATCAATACAGCAAAAACGCCTTCTCTGCTCCTCTCATTTGATGCACAGAAGGTGTTCGACTGGGTACACTGTGAATATTTATGGAAGACACTGAGCAGATTTCATATTCCACAATCTTTTTTCACTGCAATTAAGGCACTATAAGTCACCCACACCCACAGCTCATGTATCGGCCTTGGGCTTCTAATCCAGAATGTTTTCTTTAACTAATGGGACACGTCAGGGCTGCCCCTTATCTCTGATTCTTTTCAATTAGTATTTATTGAAAATGTTTGCAAAGTTTACAACAAATTATAATAACAGTATAATGAGGGTAGGGGGAGGAAGGTAAAAACTTGGAAGTGGGAAAGGGGATTTCCATCCATCATAACAATAAGTACATTAATGTACAAGGCATATAGATTGAATAATACTCAATAGCAAGTCATTACAGATTAAAAGTTTTTTTTTAACATCGGTTTCCCATTGATCCCAGTGATATTTTAATTGTGCAAATATGCGTGAGTTGCTTCTGTTAGAGATAATTTGTATGATTTATTTTCTAGTTTCAGCTCCCGGTATCTCTGGCTGCTGTTGGAGGGGGAGGCTGGTTGCCCCCACTCCCCAGGACGCTGGTTGCTGTTAGGTGGAGGGATCGACCATCACCTCCTCCTGGAACTCAGGCCGCCGCTTGGGAGAGAGACCAGTTGTCTCCTCTCCCTGTATATTATACTGCCGCTGGGGACCTGGGCTGACTGCCCAGCATCCCTGTAGGGCTGGCAGAGAGACTTTGGTCCCATCTCCGTTTGCCATCTCTGTGTGTCCCCAGGACAAGTCTATGAGGTCGCCCACCTCCGGCTGCTGTTGGAGAGGGAGGCCGGTTGCCTCCCCTCCCCAGGACGCTGGTTGCTGTAAGGTGGAGGGATCGACCATCATCTCCTCCTGGAACTCAGGCCGCCGCTGGGGAGAGAGACCAGTTGTCTCCTCTCCCTGTATATTATACTGCCGCTGGGGACCTGGGCTGACTGCCCAGCATCCCTGTAGGGCTGGCAGAGAGACTTCGGTCCCATCTCCGCTTGCCATCTCTGTGTGTCCCCAGGACACGTCTATGAGGTAAACTACCTCAGGTACCTCTGGTTGGTGGAGGAGAGGGAGGCCGGTTGCCTCCCCTCCCCAGGACGCTGGTTGCTGTATGGGGGAGGGATCTACCATCACCTCCTCCTGGAACTCAGGCTGCTGCTGGGAAGGGAGACCGGTTGTCTCCTCTCCCTGTGAGATACACTGCCGCTGGGGATCTGGGCCGGGTACCCAGCATCCCTGTGGGGCAGGTGGAGAGACCTCGGTTCCATCTCCACCTGCCATCTGTGGGTCTTCCCAGGACCGTTCCATAAGGTTGCTCACCTCTGGGGCTGGTTGGACAGAAGAGGGTAGGGTGTCCAGGTAATCCTCTGGACTGAGGGACGGTGATTGGGCTAAGTTGAACAGGCGTCGGTAGCTCTGCTCCAGCCCCCACTCCATTGCGACCAGATGACTCAGGTCTGGCCCCAGGTCGTCCGCTCGGGGAAGATCCAGCAGGGTTTCCCTGATGTTGTGGATGTCCCAGAACTGAAACTCTGTGGGGCATCCAAAGTCATCGCCCTCCTCATAGGCCTCCCACAGTAAGCCTGGGCCATTATAATCCTCTCCCTGATAGTGGTTAGTCATCGAGGGGTTGCGCTGGGTGGCGTACCACTTTAATGCCCGGTAAGCTGCATCTAGCCACAACTCCTTCCAAATTAAATCCCAGAGTTCCAACAACCATTCATCCAAGGGTTGCTCCCCTAGGAAAGGGGAGCGCAGGGCCTCGAGTACCTGGAACCGCTGCTCGTCACTGGGAATGCTCTCTCCCCGCCGCCGTTGTACCTTTTCCAGGGCATCGTGCCACATCTCCGTACGAGTGACATCTCTCCAGTCCAGTATGCACTCCTCTGATACAGGCCCGTCCTGTTGGGCCAAGTGCTGCTGCAACCTCCAGCGAAACTCCTCTTCCATGTTGCTGTGGATAGGGACGCTGCCCGTAGCTAGCTCTATCCCTTGAGTTCCTCTGAAGCCAGGGTCGCTGCACAAGTGCTAGCGTTGCCCTCAATTATAAATCCGTAACTCCACACGTTACCGGTGTCTCCGAGCTGCTGGTCCTCGCACTAGGACGCCATCCCACCTCTGCCACCAAATGTGACGGAACGCTGGCACTCTGACTGAGTACCTCCGCCAATCGATGCTCCTAGTGCTCGCTGAGGACTCCAAGCACTCCAACCGACACCATCAGCACTGCAAACCCCACTTCCAGCGATGCAACTGCGCCGGGGTCTCTGCTGTTTCCACCCACCCTGGACCCAAGGCCAGGATCCAGCTTCCAGTGGGTGAACCTCTCTTTCCCCAGAGAGCAGGAACAGGAACAAATCAAGCTATTGCAAGAGCTTCCTGTTAAGGTACCTCCAGTAATGAAATATACAAACCGCCGTTTAGTGAGTATTCCCCGTTCGCAATAATGTAGGCTGGTAGCGGGTATAGTAAAACCATGCGAACCGCCAGCTGGGGAACACTCCAAACTCCCGAACGGTACCTGTACGGCTATTTCCCTCCACGAGCTCCAAATCCACGAACTGCCAATATTAGCCGAACGCTAATACCTTCCAAGCGGCAAATATTTCCAATCAGCAGTCTCTAAGCGTCGGTAACCAAATCCCCCCAATAACGAGACCAAGCTCCGCTTTGAGGGTAAAACACGAACTGGTTTACTGTGGGCTACCTGCCCGGTATTTATGCAGGTCTCCCACTTGGTGGACACTCCCCTAGGGGACCAAATGGGAGACTGAAATCACAGAGGGACATGGGGACATTCTGGACATACATCCCCACAATATTCCCAGCATGCAGTACAGTTCCCTCCCCTCTGCTCGGGGAATAATTGGGAAGTAATTCAATTATCTCCCCGAGCAGAGGCAATCGCCATTTTAGATACAAGTTGCAAAAACACACAAAAATCCATAACTTAATAACTGCTGAACATTTTACATCAGTCTTGCATATCCCCAGATAGCCTGGATCTGAAGGCACATTATTGGAGAATAGCGCTCAGATCCCATTCGCACAGTTCAATCGCCATGGAGTCAAAGTCTCTTTCAGTTCTTCGGTATGCGATTGACTACATGGGACGGCTATCTGGGTTAAGTCCATTCGTGTGGTTGAATCTCCCGAACGGCTGTCGTTCGCATGCTTTTGTCGATTGAGAAGGGGAGGTCGACGGCTTCAGCGGTGTTCGGCTGAAAAAGTGTCCGTTTTCCGATCCATGAAATAATCGTTGAACACCGCTGGTCGTTCGCATGGACAAAATGGCCGCCGCCTCGTGGTCGACATACGAACGACGACCACCCGGCATTCGGTTTTTAATTGAGAAGTGTCTGTGGTTAACCGCAACGTTCTAATTGGGATCAATAGGTTAACCAGCAGCACACTTCTCTTCTGGGTGGCCGTCCGTTCGGTAGTTCCGTTCGACAAAACCGACATTCCCTTAAACAAAGCATACGAACGGGGAAATTCATGAAAACGGCAAAACAGACGAACAACACAGTTATAATCCAGACAGATGGGTCTGTCACACGGCTCCCCCCTTGTGGAACACTCCGGCAGACCCGGCTTGACCCTTTGGCGGGTCAACTTGGGGATGACCGGACTGAGGAGGAGTAGGGACGTCTGTTTGCCGAGATAACCCATCTGCATTCCCATTCTGCTTACCGGGTCGGTAGCTGATGGTGAAGTTATATGGCTGTAGTGCCAAACTCCACCTCAGCAGTCTGCCATTGTCTCCTGAGACCCGGTTAAGCCACACGAGGGGGTTATGGTCCGTAATAAGGGAAAATTCTTGTCCATACAGATAAGGGCTCAGTTTCTTCAGTGCCCAGACCAGGGCTAAACACTCTTTCTCCACTGCCGCATAACTTACTTCCCGGGGTAGTAACTTTCTGCTTAAGTATGCGACAGGGTGCTCTCCTCCATCTTCCCCGACCTGGCTTAGCACAGCCCCCAGTCCATACATGGAAGCATCTGTATGTACAAGAAAACGTTTGTTAGGGACTGGGGCAGCCAGGACAGGAGCATTAACAAGAGCTTGCTTCAGTGCCTGAAACGCGGCTTCACAAGCTGGAGACCACAGGACCTGTTTAGGCAAATTCTTCTTAGTCAGGTCAGTCAGGGGCTTGGCAACCGTACTGTAGTCGGGGACAAAACGTCGGTAATACCCTGCCGTCCCCAGGAAAGCTAGCACTTGGGTCTTGGTGATAGGTGTGGGCCAGTTAGCTACAGCCTCTACCTTGGCTGGCTCCGGTCTCTGGCTCCCACAGCCTACTCTGTGACCCAAGTACTGTACTTCTGCCATGCCTAGATGGCACTTGTCTGGCTTCAAGGTCAGGCCTGCGGCCCGAATCTTGTCCAGCACCACCCCCACGTGTACTAAATGGTCTTCCCAGGACTCACTGTAGACCGCAATGTCATCCAGGTATGCACATGCAAAGTCCTGGAAGCCATCGAGGAGCCTATCCACCATACGCTGGAAAGTAGCCGGAGCATTCTTCATCCCAAATGGCATAACCTTAAACTGGTACAGGCCAAATGGGGTGACGAATGCCGACTTAGGGATAGCATCCTCGGCCAGGGGGATCTGCCAATAGCCTTTGCACAGGTCTATGGTGGTCAGATAGCGCCCCCTGGCAATACGGTCTAATAACTCGTCTACCCGGGGCATAGGGTAGGCGTCAGTGGTGGTCCGCTCGTTGAGCCGCCTGTAGTCCACACAGAACCGGGTGGTCCCATCTTTCTTAGGCACCAGAACTACAGGCGAGGCCCAAGGACTGTCCGAATGTTCGATAACCCCCAGCCTGGTCATTTCCTGTATCTCCTTCCGCATTCCTTCTCGGACTGCTTCAGGGATACGGTATGGGGGTTGCCGTAGGGGGTTCTGTCCGGGTGTCTCGACCTTGTGTACAGCTAGGGTAGTGTACCCGGGTTCTTGGGAGAACGTGGCCTGCTTCTCCCACAGTAATTGTCTTGCCTGTACCTTCTCTGCCGGGTTTAGTCGGTCCCCTAGCTGTACAAGACTAGTAAGGTCTGTCTGGGGGTCCCTCTCTAGCAAGTCAGGTAACGGTAAGTTCTCGGGGTCGTCAGTAGCTGGGGCACATACTGCCGCAACATCCTCTGGTCGTTCTTGATACTCCTTCAGCATGTTCACATGGAAGGATCGCTGAATCCTTTCATCTGAACAGCTGGCTATAAGATAGGTAGTATCACATACCTGAGCTAACACTTTATACGGGCCCTGCCAAGATGCTTGCATCTTGTTTGTCTTCACAGGTTTGAGTACCAGAACCTTCTGTCCGACCTGGAAGACCCGCTGTCGGGCACCCCGATCGTACCACCGTTTCTGTCTCCCCTGGGCCGCCTGGAGATTCTCCCTGACCATCAGGGATAGTTTCTCCATGCGGTCCCGGAGTTCCAGGACATATGGTACTATGGGGGTCCCTTCTTGCTCTGTCTCCCCCTCCCAGTGTCCTCTAATGAGATCTAGGGGTCCACGGACCCTTCTCCCATAGAGTAACTCAAAGGGGGAGAACCCAGTAGATTCCTGGGGCACCTCTCTGTATGCAAATAGCAGATGAGGCAGGAATCGCTCCCAATCTCTGCAAGTGTCAGTAAAGGTCCTCAACATTTGTTTGAGGGTGCCATTAAATCGCTCGCAGAGACCGTTAGTCTGTGGGTGATACGGTGAACTAAGCAGAGGTTTAATACCGCACACCTTCCACAGCTGCTGGGTAAGCACAGCGGTGAACTGGGTTCCCTGATCGGAGAGGATCTCCTGAGGGAACCCGACCCTAGTGAAGATTTTAACCAGGGCATCAGCTACCGTCTCTGCCTCTATATTAGACAGCGCTACTGCCTCTGGGTAACGTGTGGCATAGTCCACCACGGTGAGAATATACTTCTTACCTGATGGACTAGCCCTGGCCAGTGGACCCACAATGTCAACGGCTATGCGGGAAAAGGGTTCTCCAATGATAGGCATCGACTGAAGCCTAGCTTTTGGGTGATCCCCCCGCTTCCCTACCCGTTGACAAGTGTCACACGTGCTGCAATAAACCCGCACATCTCGGTTAAAATTGGGCCAGAAAAATTTTGTGTGATCCTATGAGCTGTGCGGCGGGAACCTAGATGGCCGGCTAATGGCACATCATGCCCAATCCGCAGAATCTCCTGCCGGTATTTTGCGGGTACCACTAGCTGTCGATTCTGCGGAGGGGTATTCGGCTTCTGGGGCGGTTTCGGGATCCTGTATAGTCTATCCCCCACCCACTCATAGTGCTCCCCATCTACTCCTTCTCCCCCAGAATCGGCCCTGGCCCTGTACTTGGCTAGCGTCGGGTCTTCCCTGGTTTCCTTCCCGTACTTCTCTGGGGTATCCCAGCCTAAAGGGGCCTGGTCTAAGGTACAAGTCGGGGAAGAGAGTCTTACCTGGGTCTCAGCAGCAGGTGGGCCGGTCTCAGTGGCACGGGTCTGGGCACGGGTCGTGACAGCATCCACTTCAGCAGGACCCATGGGAGCAAAGGCGGAAACCAGGGGCGCCAAGTCATTGCCAAGGAGAACATCCGCTG